CCAGGTTGGGAAACCTGGTGATTACATAGGGATTTCAATCCCACAATGTTAAATCATATATATATATATATATATATATATATATATATATATATCATATGTATATATATCATATATATATCATATATATATATATATATATATATCATATATATATATATGATATATATATATATATATATCATATATATATATATATCATATATATATATATATATCATATATATATATCATATATATATATATCATATATATCATATATATATATATCATATATATATATATATGTATATATATATATATATATATGATATAACATTGTGGGATTGAAATCCCTATATACTCACCAGGTTTCCCAACCTAGCATATATATATATATATATATATATATATATATATATATATATATATATATATATATCTATATATATATATATATGTATGTATATTAGAACTCACAGGTATACAATTTCATCATGTATAAAGAACTCGTACACCACCCCGTCAATCCTATCAATGACACTGTCCGTACACTCAGATCTAAAATTTATCTTTTTTACTTAATCCATACTCCTGGATCAAGTATGTCTAATCCATGCTCTTGGATCAATAATTGTGCCCATTCAATAATCTCGGACTAGGGAAAATTAACTATGCCTCAATCCATACTCCATGATTATTGATAAATAACTATGTTCTATCCATACTCTTGGACTAAGGATAATTATATATGTCTAAATCCATTCTCCTGGATTAATGACAAATAACTATGTCCTATCCATACTCTCGGACTAAGGACAAATGACCATGTCTAATCCATGCTCCTGGATGAATGACATATTTTAAAGTTCTATTCTCCATGTATAATGACTCCATGTGTTATATCTTCATCCTAGGTAATAATCGTAACTTTTATGCTCCTTTGAATGAGTATCTAACTCTTGGACTTATTGACCATAGGTGGTGCTCAATCTTGCACCCGCTCTTTATTCTATGTTGGACTTCCAATCATAACCTTTGAGTTACAAAATCGATCCTGATTGGCGACTCCTAATTCTTCATAAATAGACTTATCTAAAGAGAAGTTCTTTGATTACCACAATAGACTGATGGGTCATGTTGTAATGACCTCTCATCGTATGATTCAACGCTTAGACTCAGGTCTTTTAGAGTCAAATTACATAACATAATATACCTTCCTTCATGTTCTAATGTGATATAATCACATTCTAGCATGTAGCACTTCTAGCTACAAGCTTCTTACCTTAACAACAGTTACGATACTTCTATTGATCGCTTTGATTATCTTTCACTTCAATTGTCTGGCTTAAGTCAGATGTTACATCGATCTTGGTTCTTTGAACCACGTAATATACTTATCTTAGTTAGACTCAATTTGATATGACCACTAGGGTTGGATTAACAATCATCTTCTTAGTTATTACTGAAACGATGGTAACAACAGACATGAACAAAACATAATCAATTACTAGTGCTTGATAACGTTGCGACTTTCCCTGATCCAAGCGTAATTCATGTGCTTCCGGTAGTATAGGATTCTACTACCATTCACACCTACTCATACTCATCCCAAGTATTGTCTCGCAGTCGTCCAAGTCACCATACAAGAATTTCATATAATCATTTAACACATCGGCTAACATAATGAAGCTTTATATTATTTCTCGAAACGATTACATACACGTTCAAGTTTAACCTATATTATGCTTTTAATAGGCTACACCACATGTCACTATGGATACTTTATGTCTTGATCTTCGGATATGAATTCCTCATCCTTGACTCCTCACATCATCACCTGCTTCGTCGAGGATCATTTGGAATGCCCTTGGCTTTGGCTATGGTGGCATATTTGGCTTCGTTGTCTCTTTCCTATTTGGTCAATATTTGTTGAAGTGTCCTTCTCCATGACACTTAAAGCAAACTTCTCTCTGGGTTGTGCATTCATGGGCATAGTGACCAGTCGTCTCGCATTTGAAGCAGGTCACCTCTTTAGGACATCTCCCGGTGTGTTTCCTTCTGCATTTGTCACACCACCATTCTTCATTACTATCCACATACCTCTTGTTGTTGGGGTCAGACTTCAAGAACCTATTTTTCTTTTCGAATCTTGAGGATACCTCAAACTTCCTCTGTTCGCCTACCTCAGCTCTTTCCAAACCCTTTTCCCTAAGTTAGATCTGCACATTCTTGGCTCCTCTAACGACTATCTTCAAGGTTGTTGCCATTTTTTACTATTGCACCAAAGTCTACTGGCAACCCGTTAGCAAACATATCTATCTTGGAGAGTTCAGTAGGCACCAAGTAAGGAAATAGATTCATCTTCTCGGTGAATGCGGTGGCATACCCATCCACACTCACCTTCCCTTTCCTCACGTTCTAAAACTTGTTGTTTAGGTCTATCAGATCCATTTTGGTGCAATATTGCATTTTTAACTGCTCCATGAATTCTTTGCAAGACATCCTAAGGGATTCTCCCCATGGCATTGTATCTGCCAACAACTTCCACCAACTTAAAACTCTAGTCTTCAGTTCTCTAACTGCAAAGACGGTCTTTTGCTATCGATGCAGTTGCAGCTTTCAAATACCATTTCGATCTCGAAGATCCGGTCCATGATCTCTACAGGCTTCATGCTTCGAGAAAGACTTGGTAGCTTGGCACCCAAGAAGTTCTTATACATGCGCCCATCCCTGTCAATCATTGTGTCTAGTTCATTCCTCTTGAGCATTCGGGGTTCAATTTGACTCACATTCTGCCTATAGTTCCCTTCATCAGATTGCTCAATGTTTAGCTTGGGTTGTTCAATAGGCATAGTAGGCTCGTCCCTATTTTGTTGAAGTAAACACCTTGTTTCCTCCATCTGACGATCCAACATCATTTGGATCATCGCTTTCACTCCTGTCATCGTAATTGGATCAGGTGCAGCTTCTACATCTAGTGCATGCTCAATCACATGCCGCTGATTCCTGTTTCCATTCGCATTTCCGCTTCAGTTTCTTGTCATTTCGATCTATACACCAAATCAGATATTTGGTGTGTAATGACGAGCATTAAGATAGGAAAGATGTTATTTACGATCGATGTGTAAATCTCCTAATTACTCCAAAAAGTTACATGTTAGTTCTAATACTGTAATTAAATGTTTAGAAATCAGAACACATAAAATTTCCAAATCCGATCGGCAACAAACAATAGATCCGATCATATGATGCATATCATAGATCATTTAGCACAAAAAAGCATTTTGGGCATCTTTTTCTAAAATAAGCTAGTTCTTGTGTATATTCATGTGTATTACCAAAGTTATACTAGACACACTCAACTCAAAATCATTGCTTAGCACTCTAAGTTTAAGTCTAGAAATAAATATTTATTCCTAGTTCATTTAAACTAATGCTCTGATACCAACTGTGACATCCCTATTTTTACGGCCAGAAAAGACTGATTTGTTTATGCTTTATTTTCAAAATTAGAGTATGTTTTACTGAAATATGTTGAGGAATTTGTTCCCAGAAAAACATATAAATATGTTATCAAAGCATTTCCGAAGAAATGTGTTTTATTCCTTTTAGAACGTTGGGATGTCATCCTCAATACAGAAACATAAGCATAAACAGACCTTACATTCATTTACACTAGTGATCTACATCTCCTTTATCTCTCAGTGTAATGTAGCTTCATATCGACACATGTGATATAGATAAACTGAGTGGGTCAGGTTTGAAAACCTGGTGAGTACATAGGGATTTCAATCCCACAATATTGTCAATACTAGAAAATCAGCCTTTTACGACGCACATTCAATGACACGTGCTGATAGTGGACATGCATTTGTACGTACCCTAAAAATTGATGTTAGTTTTCCAAAATAAGAAGCATAGAGGACACGCATTTATGTGTGCCCTAAAATTAGTGTCCAACAAAAAAATTAATAACACGGAGGGCACCTACTATAAAAAAGTGTGTCGTGTAGAAATGTCGTTTTATAATTTTATTTTCATCAACGTGTGTTCTTTAATTTTTTAATTGCCAAGGGGGGAATAAAATACTAAAAAATTGAAAACCCCACCTGATACTCTCATCCTTCTTCTTCGTATGTTGTGAAATCGTCTTCGGTCAAAAGAAATCCTAAAAGCATTGTGTGGGTTTCGGATATTCAATTTTTAGTTCTGAAGTTCATGAAATCATATTTTCGACTTCGATATGCGATTTTTCTGAATTGGTATTTGGTGTGCAGAAGATCGATATTTTCAATGCGGCGAGTGAATCAAGAGCGAGAGGTCCTCGCTGTTAATTGTTGGTTTCCAATTGCAAATGACTTGGCAAACGAGTTTGATGTTGAAGAAACGAAAGAACGGGATTAAGGTTCAAGAATCTCTGTAATACCTGCCACCTCAACACTATTCTCCAGTTCTTAACCTATACTCCTCCCCTCTCCAACTTTTTTTCTCCGACTTCAACACTCCGAAAACTGTATGTGCTCTTCTTCTACTTACTCACATACGCACACACGTATGCTAGCATATCTAAATTTCCATGAATTTTAACCTAATTTTGTCATTGCGTTCGGTAAATTGTTCCACTTCGTTAACATAAATTGCCCTAATTCGACACGCGAGTTCCTGGCGTAGCAGGACAAGAAGAGTGATTATCTGTTTTGTCTACTAGAGAAGAGAATTGTTCGACCTCTTAGCATCGACTCAACCCTATATACACCTGGTAAGATCATTGGGGATTGAAAGTCTTTGCTGAGCATTTTCGTTTAGGGAGGCAAGAGGATGCACATGAATTCCTTTGGTACATCATTGATGCTTGTCATACCACATGTCTTCGTTTGAAGAAGTTTCAGCAGCAAAGATGGAAGTATGTCAGCAATGGAGAAGGTGATGGCTTTAATGGCAGCACAGTAGTTAAGGAGATTTTTGGAGGAGCTTTGTAGACCCAGGTCAAGTGTCTTGCATGTGGAAATGAGTCCAATATGGTTGATGAGATAATGGATATTAGTGTTGATGTGTTAAATAGTATCTCTCTCAAGGAAGCTTTTCAGAAGCTTTTTCAACCAGGGATTCTAGATGGAAATAACAAATACAAGTGTGATAAGTAAGCATACAAGTTTTTGCTTTTGCTGTTTGGTCATGTTCATTAATACATATGGTCTGAGATAAGAAACTTGTGCTTTTGTAGCTGTAAAAAGTTGGTAGCAGCAAGAAAACAGGTGTCTATTGTGCAAGCACCCATGTATATATATTTGTGATTTGTGAATGATGATGTAAGTTACGTTGTATTAACAGATATGTATACTAAACACTAAATTGGCGATAGCTGGGAGTGTGACACATAATGTGATCAGGGATTTGTTTGGTGTGAAATTAGACATGACTAAATATGCAGTAAGTTTTGAGTTAGTTAATTTTGAGTTTTCAGTTTTGAGTAATATAATATAATGTGTGTGTGTGTGTTGGTGTGAATGATGTAGAACTTGATAAACCAAAAGCAGTTTCAAAAACCATGGTCAGTGTCAATTAGTTTGTGAGTGTAAGCGAAGAAGATATGCTGGAAATTGAATTTAATAATATAATGTTTCATAATTGAAACAGGAGCAAGAGATTCGAAAACTGAAGCGACAAATCGATGATTTACGTGAAGAAAGAGACAGGTGCGTGTTTTTGTTATTGTTAGTTTCATTTATTTATGTACCTACTTTGATTTCTTTTTATTACAACGTTCTACTTCAAACTTTTTTTTTCTTTCTTGGTATCCGAGAAAAATCTACCGAGTTATAATAATTTTAATTATTTGTTCTTAGGGCATGGGCATTATAGTTTGAAAAGTTTATCCAATTATTGTAGAAAAAAAAGTTGGGTGACATTATAGGTCGATAGATTTTTTAAAATCCAATGTTGTAACAAGAAGTAGGATGGTGCAATGTAATAAACAAATGAAGGAAGGTTTGATCCATTCTATAAACGGAAAAAAGGTTGCAAAGCAAAGCAAAGTGTAAAGGATAAATGGATAATGTTATTTGTTTTTACAGATGCATTTCACAAATATATAGGAAAGAAGAAGACATACTTGCTGGTAAGATGAGTATGGTATAGTTGCAAGGGCGAGATCAGTTGCTAACAACACAAAACGAAATGCTCAAGGTACTCTACTCTACTGCTTCATCAGATATGCATGTAAGTTTGGTTGGCTGTTTCTCTTATTACAGATGCAATTGCTGCATCTGGTTAGGTATAAATTCACTAAATGTTGACTTTGACTTGACTTGACTTGACTTGACTTGACTAGACATATAGTTTAAGGAAAATGTTTGAGTATTTGTAGTTAGTTGACTTCTTAACCATTTTTTTTTGTTTTGTTTTGTTTTAGGCGTTGATTGCTAGTTCGGTTTCAAAAGGGGATTATAGATCCATGAAGGATATCACATACTTCGTGTTGACTGTAATGTTAATTAATAATTATTTTCTTTATATAATATATAAAGATGTTTTTATTTTATAAAATTTAATGTTTATTATTTTCTTTAGATTGGTTTTGTGATGGGCGTTACTTTGGTTGCAATATTGGGAGTTTCATTTGGTTCCATAGTTACACTGTACACTAAGGACATTGTAGTATTGACGATTGCTAGAACCGGGGTTTTATATATATATATATATATATATATATATATATATATATATATATATATATATATATATATATATATATATATATATATATATATATATATATATATATATATATATATATATATATATATATATATATATATATATATATATATATATACATTTCTGATGCGTTTTGTTTTTGTGAAAAAATTTTGTGAGTGCTAGTCAGCCTTTGAATGCTTTGGCTTTTATTGTTGATGGTTTGCATTACGGGGTTTCAGACTTCCCATATGTTGCTTATTCCATGGTATGCTTTATTTTAGACATGAATAAAAAATTACGTATTTGCCCTTGGATCAATATGTTTTTCACTGTAGATGCTTGTTGGGATTTTATCATCTGCTTTTCTTTTCTATGCTCCCTCTGGTTTTGGTCTTCATGGTGTTTGGTCGGGTTTGACTCTCTTCATGGGATTACGAAAGTTGGCAGGGCGTATTAGGTAATTGTGTAATTTCATGACATGACAAAGGGTATAAAAATAATTTCATCTTCTTTGGGAGAGAGAGAGAGAGAGAGAGAGAGCTAACTTTGAGACCATCGAAGTTTCAAATTCGTTCGAAAAAAAAAACATTTAAGTATTACATTTTCAAAAAACACCATCAAACTAAGACATATGTTCAAAAAACACCAACGAAGTACATGTTCTGTTCAAAAAAACATCATCTTTATGGTTTGGGGTAACTTACATATTTAGTCCCTAACTTTTTTTTCTTAACTCGGACGGCCCCTTTAGTTTAAATTTGCTTCGACTTCAGACCATAATCGAGTTAAAAGACTAATATACCCTTATTACTGTCATTTAACATTATTTTTATTACTTGTTAATTATTTATACAATTTATGTTATTATTTATTATAAATATATCAATTGTATAAATAATTAACAAGTAATAAAAATAAATGTTAAATGAAACTAATAAGGGTATATTAGTCGTTTAACTCGATCATGGTCTGAAGGAAAAATGTAACATCCCGGAATCGCAAGAGTAGAGTTGAAGGGCTAAAAGTGTAAGTTTTAAAGGGTGACTCGGCGAGTCAGGTCGCGACTATGGTCGCGTATCAAATGGCCTACTCGGCGAGTCCAAAGATGGACTCGGCGAGTAGGTGCTGTGTGGAGAAAACCCTAATTTTCGGGGTTGAGCCCTATATAAAGAGCATTATACCCCTCCACAGCCTCCCTTATCCCCCCCTTGAGTTCCAGAAACCCTAAATTCGTGGAGAGTTCATTTGTGGAGCAAATTAGAGCTTGGAAAGGTGTTGGTTGAAGAAATCTTGAAGGAGAAGTGGCTTGGATCAAAGGGCTTTGCTTGGATTCGAGTTTGGCTGCTATTGAGGCATCTTTTGGAGGTAATACCTTCGTCCTTAGGCTGTGCATTCCTAATTTCATCATTTTGGGGTTTGTGGGGAGTATGTTTTGGAATGTTTTGGAGTTTGGAGGATAGATCTGAGGTTGCTACCTCATATCTGGAATATTGAAGGACTAGAGTGCATTAAACTTCCTATGTTTGAGTACTTAGTGAAGCCACCATGTCCCAAACATTGGTTCTAAGGTGAATAAGGCTTAGATCTCTTTAGATTCACGTAAAGTTTGCCACTTTACGTGATGGATGGATTGTAGGAGGTTGGATCTACGTTTTGGATAAATTGCATGGCCTGAGATGCTTTTGTATGGATTCAGACCGGTGGTACTCGTCGAGTCACATGGGGCGACTCGACGAGTTGCTTGAAGATGGCCTGGAACTCGACGAGTTGGAAGAACAACTCGGCGAGTAGGTTGAAGATAACCTTGGACTCGACGAGTCCATTTGGATTCGGCGAGTCTTGTCGAGGAAGTCCCAATATTTTTGGTTGAGTCGATGAATCGGTGAGTCAAGGGATGACTCGGGGGAGTTGGGTGCAAGTGGACTCAGAGTTGTTGGACTCGGCGAGTCTTGGGGTGACTCGGCAAGTTGGGTCGCTGAGTGAAGGAAGTTCTGAGCATGTGGACTCGGCGAGTCATCAGGTTGACTCGGCGAGTAGGGTCAGTCAGGGGTTGACTTTGACTTATCCAAGGTTGACCAGTTGTCTTCCAGGGGTATTTTGGTAATTAAGGGTATTTATGGAGTTGTATGTTTTGATGTTCAATGCAGGAGTTCGTGTCAGAGTTTTGGAGCAGCGGGATCTTATCCTTTCAGCCGACAGTTTCGAGGTGAGTTATCCTCACTATATCAACAGGGTCTAAGGCACCAAGGTCGGCCCTTTATTGGATTGAGATTCGGATATGGTTATTATGTTATTGTCTGATGTGTCTGCACCCTGGTAGCTAGGATGGTACATGCTAGGAGACCTTGTTAAGGTCAGTTTCCCGATATACAGAGTGATGCTATGCTAGTGACCGGTTAGGTCGGTAACCCGGTTAGGGTAATGATATGCTATGTGATCTGCTTGCTCGGTTTGTTGATTATGACTGTTATATGAATGTATGTTTTGTGCACATGGTTGTTTGGACTGGAGATGGGTTGAGGTGGGTCCTGCTTTGTGCTGTAGGCCAAGATACCTAGGGCGGACCGGTTGTTCCGAAGGCCCGGCGAGCGGATAGGCTGTAGGCCCCACGAGGGCGGACCAGACGTGCCGAGGCTCGGAGAGTGGACCAGGCCGACTGAAGGCCCGATGCGGGCGGACCAGTCACACTGTAGACTCAGAGAGTGGACCAGGTGGGTTGAAGGCCCGATGCGGGCGGACCAACCCCACTGTAGACTCGAAGGACATGACTAGACCTGGAGGATGGATCCGGTGGACTGAAGGCCTGATACGGCGGACCAGTCACACGGTAGACCCGATATGCATGGCTGTTCTATGTTCTGTTATGTTATGTATGTTTTATATGTTTTGGACCGGAAGGTTTGCAGCCTGGAAGGGCGTATGCGTGGTTGGTATTTTGGGGGTATCTCACTAAGCTTTCGGGCTTACAGTTGTGGTTTAATGTTTTTCAGGTTCTTCAGGAGACCGTGGCAAGGCGAAGGTGTGATCGTACCGCTCCTCATGATTTTGTAGCAATGTGATTCTGGGAATACTCTAATGATTTGTATTGAAAACCTTTTTGTAAACATTTTAATGAAAAATCGGGTTGATGTGAAAATTTTAAATTGGTTGTATTTTTCGGATGTTACAAGTTGGTATCAGAGCCTTGGTTTGAGTGAATTGGAGGAACACTTGTGTGACTCCAGTCTCAAATCGAGGAGGGTTTTTAAAAGAGAATTTAAAAATGGTTTTCAAAATAAGTAAAGGAGGACGCGGAGGTACGATCAGCCGGAGCCAGTAAGTAGCCCCAAAATACCATACATGACAATTGTTTTATTGATATTTGATAGAACAGCATGCTAGAGTTAGGCTAGGGATCTTCAGGATTTCTTGATGAGTTGCCTGATTTATGATGCCTGCTAGCCTAGGGTTCCTTGTGAGAGATTTCTAGTGTTCCTCTAGTTGTGAGGATAGAGCGTTGTTATGTATGTCGCTAGGGTGTTGTGGGAGTACTTCATACAAATATGGGTAGGTGTGGAAGGTAGTATGGGCCCGTACTACTGAAAGCACGGACTCATACACGTATCAGGGAAACCATGACCTCTAGGGTTGGGTTGAGAGCTGGTTCCCGGGTTAGTGGAATATGTCTGAGATTTTGGTGTTTTATTTTCAGTATGGAGATTTCAGGGCACGCTGGGAGTGGATCCGGGTCAGGATCAGGAGCAGGTGAGGGAGTCCCGGGTGGGTCTGTACAGCCCGAGGTTGTCAGCCAGATGAGTACGCACAAGTTGGATGCGAGGATTCGTGAGATCCTGTATGATGAGGTTGCTGTATTGTTTCGGGCTGAGCTGCCGGAGTTGTTTGGGTCGATCAAGACCGCCATGGTGGAGTATTTTGATGAGCGCTATGCGGCTCTCACGGAGACGGCTGCCGCGACGGCTACCGCAGCAGTAGCAGCGGCAGGGGGAGGAGCCAGTAGAGGTTTTCAGTATCGGGACTTCGATAATACGAAGCCTCCCACTTTTGATGGAGTTCAGGATCCGATTGTTGCTATGAGATGGTTATCAGACGTGGAGGGATGTTTCTTCATGTGTTCATGCCCTGCTGATCAAAGGGTGAGGTGTGCTCTGAACCTGTTAAGGCTCGGGGCAAAGGATTGGTGGAGATTGACCACGGGGTCGTACTCGGACGCGCAGAGAGCTGCGATTTCATGGGATTAGTTCAGAGAGATGTTCAGCACTCGTTATATTCCGCAGGTCGAGAGGGGGAGGTTGGCTCAGGAGTTCTTGGAACTGAAACAGGATTCGGAATCGGTGACGGAAATCACCAAGATGTTTACTGAGAGGGCGATGTTTTGCCCTGAGTTCGCTTCGGAGCAGGCTCAGATGTCCTGATATCTGAGTATGCTAAAGAGAGACATCAGACAGTTTGTGTCTGCGCAAAGGTGCGAGACTTTGTTGGAGTTGCAGGAGGCCGCCAGGCGGCGGGAGTTAGAGATTGAGTTGCATATGCGTGAGCTAAGGCATGCTCCAGTGCAGTCGCAGCTGGCGACGAAACGGTCTAAGACCGTTGATTCCAGGATGGGAGATCAGGGTAGCCACGTCTGTGGAAAGTGTGGAGGGTCACGCTGGGGTTTGTCGGTCCGGTGGAGCATGCCGCAAGTGCAGAAAGGAGGGACACTATGCAAGGGATTGTCGGCAGTCAGTGCCGGTTCGGGATTTGAGGATATGCTATCATTGTCATCAGGTTGGACATTTGAAGGTCAACTGTCCACGGCTTGCTGCAGGACCGGTGCAGGCTCCAGCACCGGCTACGTTGAGGATCACAGGTGGAGGGCAGGGTGGACCGGAGCCCCCAAGGGCTTAGGGACGTGTTTTTCAGCTTGCTGCTACGGGTACGTTTCCTTCTATTGTTTTGATTATTTATGATTATTGTGGAGTATTGTTATCTGCTAGTTTCGTTGGTTGGTTATGGAATTGTGTTTCGGGTTTTCTTGTGGTATCCGTTGTCCCTTGAGGGTTTGGCGAGTGTGATCGAGATTTCGTCTTGGTATCTTTTGTTCCCCGAAGGATCAATATGGTTATGGATTAGTGCTTCGAGCTATCTTTGATTATCTTTGTGAGGATTGATGGCGGATGCGGCGTTGGTTTGAAGGCCGGGTAGATTCTGCAGACTGAGGAATGGATATTGGAAGATTAGGTTCCTTTCGAGCGGGTTGTTCAGTGTGGAAACATGATTTTTTATGAAAGTTGTTAGCGTTGGTGAGAAACATTTTGCGTGTAAGTGTTGATTTTCTGCAAGGTTGATTTGGGAGATCGGTGATGGCGACCGATGATTTATTCGTCAGTATCTTAAGTGGGGGAGAATTGGAAATTCTCCGGATGATTGTTGGGTTTGAGAGGTTGTTTAGCTGCTTGGGGAATTCAGCGATATTTCTATCAGT